TACTAATTTTTGTTAAATGAACGGAACCGTTGTGGAATGGAACTGGAACTTATAATAGTGAGAATCAACCTTTACAATTATTATTATTACGGAATATAAAAAGCATCACAAAAAGTGCATGTTTACCTAAATAAGAATACCTGTAAGTTTTTAAATCATATCGCCTGTGACTTCTTGTATCCAAGGCAACCAAGAACAAATAACTTAGTTTAAATTAAAATGGCTACTAGGTACTTACGCGTTGTGCTGTGATGGACATTTGAAAATATTTTTAAGACATAAAATTCCAATTTATCATCCGATATGTTAGAAATATGGAAAAGCAGCCACTCCTACAATGATTATTTATCTATTTTAAAGGTAGGCAAGAACTCGTTTTTTATTAGAAAGACGAATAAACAATAAATCTGCCAAAATGTACTGAATCGCCGAATCCTGTGCAATATGATGCTACAATTATTTTGTAATTATTTTATTAGATATTAGATATTTAAACAATTTACTGATATAAGTTTAACCTTAATAAATACTTAGATCAAATAATATGAGTTGGTATAATAGTTTTTCGAAAATTGATACAAAATTTTACTAATGCAAGTTAGAGTTTGCGATAATGCCGGATTATTTGCAGTTAGGTACATTCTGGTAGTGCGTTTATTGGAATTTAGGTGTTGGATTTTTGTTTTATTGAAATTAACGTGTCTTGGAATCGGAGGCTATTTACAGATAATAATATATTATTACCTATATACAAAAAAATAATTTTTGAGGTATTTTGACATGTAACAAAAAATTACAGTAGAAAAACCTATGGTAAAGGAAAGTGACTTTATGGTGGCTAATTTAAATTTGGTTAAATAAATTCACCTCTTTAAAAAAAAACTAAACAGTGTTGGATGAAATAAAACAAATATTATGAATTTGTAAATTAGTTTTACGTAATTTGATAAATAATTTTGCTTATACAGTGTGTTCCATTAGTGCGTAATTGCTCAATATTTCAATTTGATTCATAGACATGCAAACAAGTTTCAAAATAAAAGTTATTTGGATATGAAAACGCACAATTTAAAAATAATTTTATTTATAATACAGGGTTTTCCAGGAAAGTAATGCACATCAAAGTTAGGTTTTTTTAGATATTGAGAAAAAATGTACCTGCTTAAAAAATAAAAAAAAAATGTATAGAGGGTGGGTTAACGGTAATTTGTATATAAAAAACAATTTGTTTTTTATATGTTTCCACTGCGATATGTTTATTATAAAAGGTAACAAAAAACTTCCATTATACAGGGTTTTTCAGAAAAGCAATAGGTTTTTTAAATGTTCCATTTTTAGTATGCAGAAAATTTTCTTTTCCCTTTTTAAAAATGAAAGGTTTTAAAAAAATTAAAAATTATACAGGGTGGGCCACCATCTTGGTTTTTAGAGCCAAAACTATTTGTTTTTTAAATCTGTTTTTTCATCGAATTGTATATTAGAAAAGGCAATACTTTAAAAATACTTTTTATATAGGGTTTTCCAGGAAAGTAATACAAATCAAAAGGTTTTTTAAATGTCCCATTTTTGGGTACACAGACAATCTTTTCTATTTTTAAAAATGTAAGGACTCAAAAAAAAATGTATACAGGGTAGGCCATCAGTAACGCCTCAGTTTGTAGAGCCAGAACTATTTTTTTTTAAATCTGTTTCCACTAAAAGATGTATTATGGAAAATTCCAAACAATTAAAAAAATCAATTATACAGGGTTTTCCAAGAAAGTAATGTACAGGGTGGGCCAAACTTCTGTCGTATTCTATAACTCCTAATATGCAAATATTAACGATTTATTTGAAGTATACCTATCAGTGGGGGATTAAAACCAAATATCCGAAAATTATTTTCTTTTATACAGGGTGGTCCAATAGTAAATTAGGCAAATCACTTAATTCTTTTTAAACGGAATGAGTCACTTTTTTAAAATTTTAGTTACTCTATGATCACTACTACATACCTACAAAATATTGATTCTAACATCACACCCCTTTTGCATAAAAAAAATTACCGAAAAATATGCAGTGATCTTTCAAATTTAACGTTAGAATTTAAAAAACTACAAATGTATAAAGCCAATAGACCAAAGATTTTTTAGCCAAGTTTTAATTTTTTATTTTGCACGAGGTGGTCACAAATTAATTTCACTTTCCAAAAATGTCCAGGGAATTTTTTTTAAATTTTTCAAATGGAATGGGTCAAATTTCGTTTAACCGAAATCAGTTACGTTAAAATTGTTGCTATGGCAACCGTTGCCATGATAACCAGTAAACAAAAACCCAAATCTCGTGGTGAGGAAAAGCATAGTTGCCAAGTTATAGATTATTTAATGTTCATTTTAGTTTAGACGAAATTAGTTATGGTAAAACTGTTGCCATGGGAACGCTTGACATAGTAACGACTAAACAAAAAACCAAATCCCATGGTGAGCAAATGCGTGGTTGCCAAGTTACAGATGATTCAATTTAGCTGAAATCAGTTACGGAGAAACTGTTGCCATAGAGACTTTTCATGGTAAAGACTAAACAAAAACTCAAATTCCGTGGTAAGAAAATGCATAGTTGGCAAGTTACAGGTCATTTAATTTTCACTTTAGCTTAGCTGAAATCGGTTATGGAGAAACCGTTGCCATAGGAACACTTGTGATGTCGACTAAACAAAAACCTAAATCCGGTGGTGAGGAAATACGTAGTTGCCTATTTTTAAAATATGTAGGTATTCTTCAAATAATCCATATAACTTTTATTTAAAACTTTTTTGCGGGTCAACAACACAAATATTGAACAATTACGTACTAACGGAACACCCTGTATAAATTATATTTTTAACAATGAAAATATAACCCTTATTAAAACAGCTTTTGACTGCACAAACAGAATGATGTCTCTTTTTTCACTCATTCTACTCACAGCTACAGTACCTTTAACTTAACACAACAGAGAGCTCAAACAAAATCAACGAAATTATAGGCTCAACGAAATTATGCAATCAACGAAATTATACGCACGGCTCAATACCTTACCTAAGTACTCTTCTGAACGCCAAAGCCGTCTTTTCCGTCCGAAGGCGGAGCTTAAGCGATGCGCGACGGAATCGACGCAAACCGTTGCCGCCAAGAGAGTGTTTTAGCTGTATTGTATAAGCTGTGGTTTTTGTTTACTCATAGTTATCACAATTGTTTTTATGACAACAGTTTTTGCATAACAGATTTCGGCTAAACGAAAGTTGAGCCAATGGAACATCCTATTACTATTCATCAACGGAGAGGGAATTTTATATTTCGACTTTCCCTATGTACTTTCCTATACCTACATAACTACCTCAAAAAATAAATAAAAAAAAACATTTTTTACTTGCGGTCGAGAAATAGCCCGTTTAAAGAAAATTGATATTCTATCTCGATGACTGGACTAGGCAGACTGTACAAAAATATTTTTTTGTAAATCCATAAATTGAGAGTAATTTCGAAAAAATTCTGAATCTTTTTAGAATCCTTTAAACGTTGGACGTGCTTTAATCGGGAAAATCATCTGGATATAATGGATATATTATGGAGAAGCGGAAATAAATACTTGCAACATTAAATGGGATGAAAGTGAAGGTGAAATAGTGAGTCCTTTTGATTTCAATTCAATGTTTTCTGTAAACAAATTATTACATCGTGATAACGTCTTTATTATTTTCAATCAGATATAAAACAAATATAATTAAAAACAAAAAATTTAAAAAGTGCGACATTTATTTTTGGTTATATGTTCTAGACACAATCAAAAATATTTCACTTAAACCTTCATCTTTTTCTGAATTTATTATTAATTTTTATTTTTTTTTTAATTGCCAATATTTTGTTTTAGGATGGATTAGCGGCTTCAAATGGTGAGTCTTTTGATTTCAATTTAACATTTTCTGTAAACGAATTATTTTTTTTAGAATTTTAATTAATTTTTATTTCTAGTGAAATGTCTTTTATGTTGTTTTAATACCAAGAATAATTATTAATAAATAATCGAATATTGGGTTGAACCGTATAGGGGGGGAGTTCAGTGGGTTTAACGCTATGAAACTCACTTGTATTTGAACCTTTTTTTAGAAATGTTGTTTAGAACGACATAACTTGTATCCGGTGTACAATTTGTCTAAAATTATTGAAAAATATTTGGAACTGCGAACCGTATCCATTCAAAATATTATTTTTTACTTGAAAAGACATTCGTAGTATATTTATACCGATTCTGTGACCCCAACATCGTGTTCTCTCCTTCCACGTCATACATTGCGAAGAAGTAACCTAAAGAAGGTGACATTGGACGATAGGTGAGTACTGGACGAAGAAAACAATGGAAAAGTGTGCCAAAGTGCCACGAAAGATGTGTTTTACCTGTGAAGGTATAAGAAGAAGAAAATGTCCATGACCAGAGATCTCGATATAATATTAAATTATACCTTTTAATTATTTTCCGATTCACTATTTTATAATTGTTGCACAAAATGTTTATAAATCGTCCTTGAATCTTGTTAACAAAATGTACAAAACGAAATTGTGCGTAGTGTCTATAATCATTCTACCCCTCTTAACACAGTCTTAACAAAAGAGACCGACTGCATTTCTCAACGATGTTCGATAATCTGCCCATCCAAATATTTGTTCCACTGTCGCTGGGTTGTCTCTGCACTGACCGCACGACCCTTTTCTCGACCGCTGGGTTTATGATGTTTTGGTTTCCCAGAAATCGTCTCGAGTTAAGGGACCATCAAAAAATCAATTACAATTGGTCTTGGCTTTTGACCTTCACGTAGTAAAAAAAATATTAATAAAGAGGTTCATCAATTCTGTGTGCAATATGCATTGAATACCTGTATAAATCGATAAAAGACTTAGGGAGAAACATATCTCGAGACAATTAAAATAGATATAGGTACTTTAAAACAAAATTAATTCTTAAACTGTAACATTTATTTGTAATTTCTTTCTCTCCGTCATAAAATAAACAAAATATCAAAAATACAGTAATATCTCATCATTTTAAAACTACACAACATTCTTATTATCAATTTAAAAATCCTACATTTAAATATAACAAATAATATAAATAGGAAGACTTTCAAATTCCTTTCGTCAGAATTTTCTTTCAACAAATTAAAACAAAAAAACAATGTTTCGTTTATTACCACACCAGACACTTCTTAGCCCTGTTCATGTTCGTACCTGTCGGGCAATTAAAGTCTTTAATGAAATACTCGGAATTGCTCATCGGTCCCAACACTCTAAACTGGCTAGGCGAATGGTATCCCGTTAAAATCCTCAACTTCAGTGATTCAGGTCTGTATTTGGAACACCACGAGTTCGCGGCTGATATCCAGAAAAGTTGTTTGGGGGTGTATTTCAGTCCTGGAAGTTTGGGTTCCTCTCCGTGCTTTTTGACCCATTTATTGTATGCTAAATACGATTCCTTGATCCCTCCATTGTCTGCTATATTTTCTCCTTGGGTGTTGATTCCATTTAGCTAAAATTTTAATAGTTATAAAATGTGTACAGTGGATGTGGTAAAAGATTAAAATATCTTCAAAATGGATGATTTGATTCTAATCAAATTTAGTACTTTTGAAATTAACTAATCGATTATAATTTATGATTATGTGAAATCGTTTTCCGTGAGATTTTTTAAAATTCAGATATATTGTATATACAGGGTGTTTATTAAGTACTTGTACAAACTTTAAATGGTGAATCTTTGACTTATTTTAAGGCAAAACGTTCATATGAACATAGTCCTAAACCTCTTAACTTTTGAGCTACAGGGTGGTAAAGTTTTCAGAAAAAAAATTTTGTTTTCTAATAACTAAGAATATTGCAGATATTTTTACGAAATTTGGTACACGTCTCCTACACATTATGATGCATTTTTTAATGTACAAATAGTTTTATTATTTCTACTAGTATTTTTGCCGAAAAAATAGTACGCCACTGCTTCATTTTAAAATAACAAATATTTTTGCAATCCTCATTTAGTTTTGAGCAAATTGGTCTGATGAGTTTTTTCTCCGACGCATAGTTTTCGTCCGACGCATAGTATTCTGCATGGAACAAGTGAAAAATGTGTCTTTTATTGATCAATATTGTTATGTGATAAACTTAGATTATTTACAGACTAAGACTAAACTACTTTTACAAATAAGTTAATAACATTTACAACAATTGCTGAAAATGCCCGCCGCCTACTGCAACGCATGCGTCAATTCGCCTTAACATTGATTGACGTACTCTTTCGAATATACCTGGTGTCTGATTAATAATGGCACACGATTCAAATATCCTGTTTCTTAGATCTTGCTCATTTTGAACGGATGTTTTGTAAACGTAGTGTCTTTATGTGTTAAATCTGATCTTATACTTATAAGATGCTAGCCCGGCTAACGGCAATGCGAAAAATGCTGCTTAAAGTGTAAACTTCAAAAAACTGGAAGCACAATGTGTAAATTCTGCATTATAGACAAATAAATGTCTGGTAACTCTGGTATCAAAAATGCTACGCAAAGATCATTGATTATATTACTGTATGGGTAAATCCTGCACCTTTAAAAAAAATTATCCTTTATGTGCACATAAATTAGCCATTGATTAAATATAAATTTAAGTTGATTCAGAATCAGAATCTAAGAGGTATATACATTAAACTCGTCATCTTCACCAGAACAGACGTTCGAATAGGGGAAAAAGAGAAAACAAAGTCTCACAGGTTTTCAGGACCTTTTATTCTAACTACTAACGCTCCAGTCCATCCAGTATCTCCCCAAACTATTGGGTGGGTAGCTCAAGCACTTAGCACACATACGTATGTACCTCGACCGTTCTCAAAATCTGCGTCGATATCGAAACCATTAGAAAAATTGTAGGACAAGTTTTACAATTAAGACGTAAAACAACGTTCGCAAAAGTATTAAAAAATTATAAAACTGGATTGTTAAAATTCAATAATATTTTTTTTTTGTTACGTTGTTTAATGATTAATTCATTAGTATTATTATTATTATTGTTAATTTTGTGGGAAATTTATAGTAATATTTTTTTGCCATATTCTATTGTATACATTTACGTAGAAAGCAAAAATCTAGTTTTATTTTGAATAAAACATCCTCTAAACAACTACATCTTAAGGATGTGAAGCATAATTAATGGATCAAACGACTTACCTGAAGGAAGTTCAATTCTAATTATGCGAGCATCCTTGTTAGTGGAAATAAAGTCCCACTTCCACCATATTTCTTTATATTATTTTTAACCTCAAACTCCTAGGCTCCACAACAGGTAATGAGTAATTTAGGTAGGCAGCGGTGGGGAGTGGCATGAAATTTTAAAACATGTGGGTCAGCGGCGTAACATAGGTATACTCCATATGGTTATCTTTATTTCCACTAACAAGGATGTGAAGCATAATTAGGATCGAACTTCCTTCAGGTAAGTCGTTTGATCCATTAATTTTAACACTGTCTATTATTTTGAAACCGTAGTATAGATTGACATTTTTATTATTTATTATCGTAAAAACTATAAATAATAAAAAAATTGAACCTTGATAAAATTTAAAGTTTCATCTTAATCCTTCGTGTTTTATTTATAATGAAATTTCATGAAAAAATAAAAAGTTTAAATGTTTAGTAATTTAAAAGTACTAAAATGTATTTTTTCTCAAATCACCTATTTCAAAGATATCTTCCGCTTAACTGTTTTCGCAAAGCGTTTTTAAATAGTTACCTACGTGCCATTCCTTAAAGATAGAAGCGTCAATTCAAAAAATGGCGTGATTTTAATAATAACATTTTGAATCGTTTCGGTAATTTCCATAAATCATTAACAAATTAAATATTAATTAATATTTTTCTAGAAAATATTCATATAATTTATTAAAAAAGCATATACCAAGAATGTCAGTTCATTAAACTTATTAAATATCTAGTAGTACTCATTATAACAATATTTATATCTTTATAAGGATTTACATATAGGTAAATTTAAGTTTAGCTTTGTGAATTAGACTCTAATATTCTTAAATACAATAAATAAGTACCTTCAAATTCTTTTTTTTCTTTCCTTTTTTGAATCTTATAATTTATTTATATTTTTTGTGCTAAATAGCAATGTGTCCAAATTGTTCATTAAGTAATAATAAAAATTTGAAGGCGTATATATAGGTGTTAAAAAGCATGTGATGACTATATTCCAAATGATACACATATTATAAAATTAACTTTTTCTTTATTGTGGGATAGAAACACAATTGTTATTCAGATTACCTATTATTATCATCAACACTCAAATTAGTGTAATATGAGACTAAATGCCAATTATTAATAAAAGTCACCTTTTAACAGTAATTCGCAATTTCCCAGAAGCACCACAAAAAAAAATAAACACATTAAACAATAAAACAAGTTAACAAAAATTATTAGTAAGTACAAAAAATGACATTTTTCAACAAATATAGATTTACCTTTTTAGAAATTCTTTCAGAAAAATATGTAGCTGTTATAAACATAAACATGTACAAATCTTCAAATAAAAAATAACAGCACAAATGTTAAAAATGCTATGAAATTGTTAGGTAGAAGTTAGTAGGTATAAGTAAAAAATGCCCAAAAGCCAGTCATTACGTAATTTTGATTAATACCCCGCAACAAACAATGATTGTTAATAACGATATTCAAAAAACATGCAATATTGAAAATTATCCACATTATATTTGTACACAAAACAAACACATTAGCTCACCTGTACAATATGCCTACGTTTTTACCATTTCCAAAAAGGCTACTTATCAAAAAACATGCTTAAATTAAATTACAAAAATAATGGCACTGCTGTAAAAAATTCTATACATATATTTATGACACAATTTTTACTATACCTAATGTAAATATTTAATTTATTTGTACCTATTTTACCGTGTTTGGTTGGTGTTTGGAATTAGGTACATAACACCATTTCTCCCATTATTTACACATCTTTAATTTAAAATAATTATAGAGAGTGGACACACAAAAACAGATTTTCATTCAATTTACAAATATTTAGAGTTTACATAAAAAAAGTAGATAATTATAGCTGCATTACAAAATAATAATTTGTTGCTACAACTCGTTACACATTTTGTGTTCTTTAATATTATTAAATAGACTACTCACAGTTATTGCCAGAATGTGAGCAAACTTAATCGCGATTCAAATTTATTTTCCAGCGCTGTATAAGTCAAGGGCGATTCCAGAGAGGAAGAGGTGGGCATAGATGCCACCCCAAGTAACATTTTTAGATTTATCAAAGTATACAAGGTAACCATAAAACCCTTTTTTAAGACACTGATGAAACTTTTGAATCCCCGAGATAGCCTTAGGGCTGCTATAAATCTGATTTAAGAGTAAAAGGGAGAATCCTATAACGGTTTTTAGGAGTATTTTTAAAACAATATTTTAAGACTAATTAGACTTAACACAAAGTCCGTAAGAGTATATTAAGAATTTTATTAAACCATTTTTAAATCTTTTTTAAGATTATGATAAGTGGGATAGGCATAAAAACTCTACAAAACTAATCAGTTTTAAGAGAATAAAATTTTAAACTGTTTTAGCTTTATTGTTTTATCATACTCTCTGACAGAATGATTTTGCAAACATGTTGGGAAGACTGCCATATTAGAAATTAATTATTATATAGTGTATGTTTAATTTGTTTAGTTACACTTGTTATTTCTTTAATTTTCAAACACACACCAAAGTACTGTTAAAAGTGGGCAAGGTGGGTCGTAATAAATGATGGGCCTTACAATATATGAAATATACGTGAGAAACGATTATTATATGGATTCTAATCTATTTAGCGAAAGTTATTTAATAGAAAATAACATTGTAAATATTGAATAAATAGCACTATAAAATGATTACATTTGTCTTCGATATGTTTTTCATATAAAATATCACATTTTGTGTTTTTCAAATTATTTCATGGAAGTGACTATTTAACCGACAATATAAATCCCATTGTAGATTTGTCTTTGCATGGATACTTGTCATCGTCAGAAAACCATTTTCAATTTCGCATACTACCTACTGGATTATCAGAAACAAACTTTGTGTTTAATCATAAATTACTTTAGGCGAGGCAAGAGTTGTATAACATTATATCATAGTATAATCCAGTATAAATTACATTTATATACCCTTAAACACAGTAAACGCAATCATAAATAAGAAATCTACTGTCATTGACACAATGTTGTCATTGACACACTATCACTGTCTTTGGTACACAAAATATGTCATTAATAAAATCGAAAGATTTTAGAATTATTTGCACTTTGACCATAATTTATTTGAATATCCTTTAGATACAGGTCTGGTAGACAGGTACCAGTTTACATGATATGTGGTTAAACAGCCACTGCCATATTTAAAATGGAGGATTTTCTCATTGTGTTCTATCTTTACCTAAAAACGGACATTAGCTCATAAAACT